GAAGTCTCCCTTAAATGTATCTATTTATGATGAGATTTATGTTCACCACGTCTGGTATTTTTCTCCAGAAATACATTAATTACTACATCTTATAAATCTTATCAATGAGACTGTTGGCAGTTTACAATGTGTAACAGGTTACATAGTCTAATGCCATTTTCAGATTAGAACTAAATTGCATGTAATTTGAGGCCCAGATAAGATTACGTTGCTTGAGATTCTGGACAGAACAAATTATATGGAGAACCTCATTGGTATATTTAATTATATATGATATACATCAATCTATTCTGAAAAAAACAAATTGACCTAGATTTGAGATAGTGTGGACTGTCAATTCCAATCTGACTTGCTTTAGGCATAAAAAAAAATCTTGGTCGAACCTAAGTAGACAGTATGAGACTTAGACATTCAAGCAGACAGATCCAACTCTCCCATCTCTCATATAGACAAATTGGTCTCTCCTCTTGGACACTCCCAGTTACTTTTATAAGATTCCATGCTCCCCACATAGAATGGCCTTTTCCCAAGCCAGTATCGATATTCCCCTAACAGGGTGGCAGCTGATTGATATGCCAGCTTTCAACCTATGAAGATCAACTTTGCATTCGCTTGAATAGAGAGGATGAGTCACACATCCTTTTAAAGTGCCTACCATATATGCCCTGGCAATCAGAGCTAATACTTTGGCTCTTGAGTCGAATAACCTCCACTATGATGAGGAGATTGAGATATTCTTATTAAGTGATCAGTGCCCAGGTGTTTTGACAATAGTAAAAAAAAATTTATTTGTACCTTATAGAAACTGTTTGATGCTTTCAATGAAATGCTAACTTTATAGGATTTCTTTTTTTTTCTATGTACTTACATTTCTATGTAAGTAATGTACTGTTACCTATGCATGTATTAAATGGTGTTCTGTATTTTAAAATTTTTGGACTTGGACTTGGACCATAAATAAATAGGTGTACAAGGTAAAATATAGCAATAATAATCTAATAATATAAGACAAACATAATATATAACTTTAATGAAACTAAAACATATACTTATCACTCCTGATTCAACATAAGAAAGTTGAAGACTGTTATTTTATACTGAGGTCTAAATTGCCATGTGGTTTTTCAGCATCCTATTTTTCATCTGTACAGATGCTTAAACCAACACATTTTTATTTCCTCTGAGAAAAGAATATACTGCTACAATATTATATTTGTCTATCATATTTGACAATATCACAGATCTGTTCGAGCTCAGGAAGTTCCTAATGCTGCTTTATGAACATGATTATTTTCCAGTTACAAGCTTCAATATAACTTAGCAAAAAATATTTTTTCTTTAGACTCCAACTGTCTTAGAAATCAAACTGATTGTGACTAGTTCATTAAAAAATCAAACAGAAATTAGATATTCCTCTTTAATTACCTAAACACATACAAGGTGTGCAATCAAAATTATTTTCAGTTTTCAAGACATGGTTTGTTAACTATGAACAACATTGACAGACTATGAGTCTCCTTTGTTCAGAGTGTACAGATTGAAGAATAGAAATCTTAGCCAACAAAATTAATTTTTCAGGATTTTCTAAGGTACAAAGACTTAAATGGGTCATGGGCTAAATATTATATACTGAGAGTACCACATAGTGCAACCACAAAACTAGGTGCCTTCAGCTCCAAACCAGAATTTGAATGACTTCCTTACAGTTCTTATATTGTTATTATTATTGGTGGTGGAAATCTTAGATTTGAGGAGTAAATCTGAATTCTTCTCGGATGGATTCTCTCCAATAGTTACTATTTCATAATTAAAAATAATTGAAGGTGGGTTATTTTTCATTTTCAATGAAATGGTTAAATTACTTTTTTAAGCACTCTATATAGGACACACATGCCCACACAAATATATATTAAAAGGAAAAAAGTAACCTTTTAAACTAATAATCTATGTATTATAGAGGAAGGGTTAAAAACCTTAGTAATAAAATGTAAAAGTACATAGCATTTAATATTTCACTATCCTGTAAGTATTATTTTAGAATACTTTAGGTGAAGATAATGTATCCTTTTAAGGTGAGGGTAATTATTATTGTAAAGATACAGCTTATAGGAATGGGTTTTATTTTGTTCTATTTTGATATCAAATCGCTCTTCAGTAAATTTCCAAAACATTATTCTGTTTTGTAATACACATTGAATGCTTAAATGGGAGGAAATACAGGCTAGATCCAGATGGAAATTATTCTTATTTTCTCAGGCAGAAGTTAAATGTTATTTTGTCATATTTTGACAAATACCTCTCTATTCCAGATATGGTGCCTGGGTAATGAAACAAAATTTCATATCAACAAGACTGTTGATGCAGCTATTCGGTCTGTAGTTATTGGAGGCCTATATCCAGGGATTCAGTACAGAGTGGAAGTTGCAGCAAGTACCAGTGCTGGCATTGGAGTTAAAAGTGAACCACAACCTATAATAATTGGTAAGTGAATACCTGTATGCTGCCACTCTGTTTAATGTAATTACATTTCCCTATGCCTTCCATGAATCCTGACTGAAAATATAAGATAGAGCTATGGTTGAATATTTTCTATTTATAAATATTTCTAGAACTAAAACAGAGAAATGTCTGTATTACTAAAATAAATTATAAATATCAATTATTGTGTGAAAGTAACATTGCATTATGAATTTTTCACTTCACCAGTTTAATAGATTTATAGGATAGCTAACTAAACCTTTCTCTTCTGCCTGTTTTGATTACTACATTATTTCCTTATTTGTGCTACTGGTGCCCAAGGCCATGTTTAAAGTATGTTATCTGAGCATTTGAGGTTTACTGTGTATCAATTATTCTGAGCAGATGGTCTCTTCTGTTTTCTGCCAAAACACAAGGGCTTTGAATCCAATAAAGGGAAAAACTGGTAATACCATGTCTCTCCTTTAAAGTTTTGTTTTTGTTAATCAAACTAAATTAATTTCATGACTTGAGGCAAGCCTAAAAGCTTGCCTTAGAAACTTTTCAATGATATACAATAATGCTTAAAAGTTTGTGAGCCTATTTGAATTTTCAGTATTTCTGCATAAATATGACCCAAAATGTGATCTCTTATCCAGACATATCCTAAAAGTAGATTAAAAAAACAGTTAAACATATAAGTCGAAAACTTTATACCTGTTCATTTTTAATTGAGAAAAATCATCCAATGCAACATATTTTGTGTGGCAAAATTATGTGAACCTTTGCTTTCAGTAACTAGTCTGCTCCCTCCCTTCAACTTAGGCAGCAATATGTTCAAGTAATATTTTGATAACTGTTGATCAATCCTGCACATCAGTTTGGAGGCATTTTAAGAACAGCTTCAATTCAGGATGTTTCTGGGCTTTCTTGCATGAACTACCCACTTCAATGCTTCCATAGCATTTCTTTAGGGTCATGGCCAGCACTCGGATGTGACCATTCCAAAATATTAAGTTTTGTATGCTTTAACCATTCTTTGTTCGTATGATTTGGATGGTTGGGATTGTCTTGCTACATGACCCACTTTCTCTTGAGTGTCACTTCACTAATATTTCCCTGTAGAATTTGCTGGTATAATTTAGAATTCATAGTTCCATCTATGATGGTAAGCCATTCCAGTCCAAAGGCCAAAAAGTATAGGCTCAAACCATGATGCTGCCACCACCATGTTTCAAAGATTGGATCTACTTCTTGTGCTGGAATGTAGTGTTTACTGTTTTAATTCAAGTCACAAAGTTCTGTTTTGGTCTCATTCTCCTACAGAACATTCTTCCGATGGTTTTCTGGCTTACCCACCAGTCTTTTGCAAACTGGATGGGTAACAATATCCTTTTTGAGGAATAGTGGCTTTCTCTTGGAGCCCTGCCATTCTCCTAGTAGTAGGTTCATGAACTTGAATTCATTAATGCAAGAGAGGCCAGTTGTTTCTTAGATGTTACCCTGGGAATTTTTTTAAACAATTTGGCTGGTTGACCATACTAAGGTAGGTAAAAATGTTGTTGAATTATCTCCATTTGTACAATCTGTCCGGCAGTGAGTTAGTGGAGTTCAAACACTTTGGAAATGGTTTTGTAACCCTTTCCAACTTGATAAGCATCAATATCTTTTTTTGTAGATCCCCAGAAATCTTTGTTCAAGCATAATATATTTCCACACACCTGGGTTGTGTGAATCAGACTTTGATAGGAATACCAGAATTCTGTTCTTTAAATAAGGCAGGACCTCTCAGGTTCACATTTGATTATCACCCCATTAATTGAAACACTTTAATTTTCCCTTCAGATGTACTCATAATCACATGTTTTTGGCACACAGAAATATGCATCTCTGCACAATTTTCCTCAATAAATAAAAGAACAGGTACAATGTTTTTGTTCATTTGTTTAATTGAGTTTTCTTTATCTAGTTTTAGGATTTGTGTAAAGAACAAATCACATTTCAGGTCAATCTTTATGCAGAAATATTGAAAATTCGAAAAAGTTCCCAAACTTTTAAGCACCACTGTATCAAAAAAATGAAATAAAATAAAGAGCTTAACAGAAAATACACAAAACAATTTCAGATGTATGTTAGATTATGTAGACCACAATCCACATGACCTGTTTAAGAGCCAATGTGAATATTAATATGAGTAGGGATGCTGAGTACTTGGACAGAAGCCTTCTGAAGAACCAGTTACCAAGCTGGTGAGAGGTTTGTGGCATTGCAGTAATAATTGGTGGTGTTGTTTTGGAGGAAGCAAGACAGTGAATAGGAGCCTACTATATCTGAAGGGATAGGGACCAACAGGGAACAAGCCACTGTTAGAGAAAGAAGTTTTAGTATGTTATGTGAGTTCTATTGTCCAGTCCCTTGCTTGACCTCAATGACTTATCATTGGGTCATGAGTGATCCTGGATTTTGGCTATTGTTATTGGATGCCAGACTAGTCTATTTTAAGGCATTCCTCATCTGTGATCCAATACTGAATGAGACGGATAAACTGGCATAAATTTCTAATATCTGGTTGGACATGTGACAAGTCAAATCCCAAGGCAAAATGGTGGAGTAGCTATAATCATACTAAAGATCTATTGGCTTTCAGAGGTACTGCTCCATTGATAACTGGTTATGAGAATCTTCTGGAGAGCATAAGATCTAGGGACTCTAAATATCCCTATATCCAATTATATCCAATTATTTTAATTGGATCTCCAATTCTCCCTTTTGGGGGAAGGTTGTAAAGAATTGCAGATCCAAGGAGTACTGGACAAATCAGATTATCTGTACTCTTTTCAGGACTCAGACCATTATATAATACTGAAGAAAGCATCAACTGCATTTCTTGATGGCAGTTGGAGAGACTGCAAGGGTGAGGATTCTTCAATCCTGGCCTTCCTTCATCTCTCTGTAGTCTTTGATATCATCCAATATAGTATCCTTCTGGGCTGGCTTTATGGGCTAGGGGTGGGAGACCCAGTGTTGCAGTAGTTTTCTTTCCTTTAGAGCTTGTTAATTTATTTTTATTGAAAAAAGTTCTTGCTCTGGATCTGTAATATCTCTAGTCCTTTTTAACATCCACCTGAAGCCACTTGGTGAAGTCATCCACCAGCATGGGTTCAGGTATCTGTAGTATCTTAATAACACTTATTTATACATCTCACTAGGGTTTCCAAGTAATGCCCAAGGTATTGCATTGTAGGTATTCAGTTGCCCATCTCACCTCATGCCTCTGGGAGGTGAACAAAAATTAAAAACAACAATATCACCCTAAAAAGAAATCTGCATCCAGTTAAAACATGTAGGTAAATAGTCATCATAACCATCACTACAACCCCTCCACAGACACTTTCATACCCAGATCTCCAAGTTTGGTGATGCAACCATGTCTTTAAAGATTTTCAGAAGGCCAAAAATACATGCTAATCTGGAGGGGGGGGAAGATGTTGCAAAAAAGTGTAGGCACTATCACAGAAAAGGCTACCTTCCTGGGTCTTAACCAGTGACATTCCAGATTAGATGGGCTCAAAAGGACATCTCTCCTTCTGATGGGATATTTAGATGCAGTAGGAGAGAAGTGATCCTTTCAATAATACTGACTGTACATTGTGTTTATAAGGATGGATAATGTTCTTGATTTTGGCTTAACTCCCAGAGCTCCAAATTGTATGTTTAAGTTCCCAAGATCTGGATTTGCATTCCTTCTGGCAGAACTGATGACAAATTGGATCTCTTTTTTTGGATTCTTACCTATAAAGGCAAGTGACAGCAAAAGACAAGAGAGACTTTATACAAATCCATCTAGATAAAATGTAGTTGGACCATGTAATTCTTGAAACAATTATGTATTACTAGTAACTAATATAAAACCAAAACCCAATAGATGCCTACATTGGGAGCTAAAACTATACTGTGAGCCAGAGATTCATCCAAATAACATAGGGCTCAGTTCCTTTCTAAACATGAGAGTCAAGGCCAACTCTATTTCTGGACACAGTATATTATATATATATATATATATATATATATATATATATGGGGGGGGCTATTAATGAGAAGGCTTGATTCATCCACATCCTATGCATTAGTCTTGAAAGATAAAATCTCATCAGGCCACTAAATGGCAGGATAAGATTAGAAATATAGTGGAGCCAGTAATCTTAAGTGTAATTTACTGTAGCAACTTTTGCCATTATTAGTCTGGCTAAGGAGCATAGTGGCTCATGTGGTTAGGACACTGGGTTGGAAGTTGGCAAGCTCGTGTTCAGAGACCCCACAGGCATGGCCCAAACAACATTGATGTTACCGGCTAATCATTTCAATCTGGAAGCACCTTGAATGGTGCCTCTGATACAAACAGGACAGGATGGAGATTAGTCTGGCTGCCATATTCTGTAGCAGTTTTGTGGCTTCTGAGGCATCTTCAAAGACAACTTCCTATATAATGTGTTGCAGTAATCCAACTGCAAGGTGATAAAGGCATGAGTTACTGTTGAAAGAGCTATCTACAGTATACCAGGTACAGCCATAAAGTACAGAGTGGGACAAAAGCCTCTAGCAACAAACTCTACCTGCTGTTTATCTAGGAGGATCTTCAGATAACAGCACAATCCCATCAAGGAACAATACATTCCTCTATCTTATTATCAAACAACTATTTCTTCTTGGTAGGATTCAATCTAATCTAGTTGTTCTAGTTGTTCTCTTTCAGTTCCTCATTGTCTTCAGACACCATTCAAGACTTTAGCATGTAAAGCTCAGCCTGAACTCATGATATATGGTACTGTTTTGCTGAATATGAAAAAAGAAAGCTACATAAAAGTATGTTTTAAAAACGAATACATCAAAGAGAAACAGAAAAGTCATGTACAGTTCTGATTCTTCCATATCTCTTTGAATCCTCACCATGTCACTGGCTAGTTTGAAGGAAGAGGAATGAAAGTTTGGCAAATATTGCAAACATTTTAGCATTTCTCATTGAA